CTTAATGTTGTCTGTGTTATCTCACACACTCCTGGGAAAAAGAGCTAACAACAACAACAACAACAAAAAGTCAGATGTTCCTGTACTGATCATTTACTGTCTAAGCATATTCCACAAAGACACTACTTCTCTGCTTTACATTCTGAGCTTCCTAAGATACACATTAAAAAACACACACACAATATCTTCTAAAAATGAAGTGAGCCCCATGTTCCTTGATCATCCACCTGAGCAAAGTAGCCCTTACAATTCTGAGGAAGAGGAGGGGCACCTGTCCTGCCCAGTTCATCAGCCTCATCTTTCTGACTGCTGGGACACTGGCCTAAGCTGAAAGGACAGTTTTCTGATCTCTACCCTCAGAGGAAGGCCTGAGGTCCTAAAGTGATAGGGAAGTCCAGCAGAAACCCTAAATGGACTTGGGATAGGGCTTACCAAGTTGTAAGCTCGAGTGTTCTTAGAGCATTGGGCTGTGGTGACAGGTACCATTATTAACCCATTGTGGCCTAGACAGGCAGAGTGGCTTATCTAGGGCCACATATTTCTTTAACATCTAGGCAGGGTCCAAACTCCCACTCCAGTATTAGAGTTTGGAGACCACAAGGCTGGACACCATCACAGAACAGCCTCTTCTCCTGCTCAGGCAATGCCTAGCTCCTCTGGGGCCCAAAGTCTCCCAGCATTAAGCCTGGGCCTCCTATGGCCCCACCTGCTAAGCCTCAAGGCATGCTTGGCATCCCTGAAGACAAGTCCACTCCATCACAGCTATGTCAGCCGCATGCCAGTGGAAGATGGCCAAGGCCACACCTCCACAAGCTGGCAGGACTGTCCTGGAGCAGCCATTCACGGCCTGGAGCAGATTCTCTGCCAAGTTTAAGTGCCTAGTTTCCAGGCACTGCAGAAAACAGCACTAGGGCCTGATATGCGAGTTCCAGACACTTTTTAAAGTGGAAGGGCCCTTTAAGATTCTTTCTTGACCTTCTGCTCCATATCTGGTAGTTGGAAAGGGAGGCCCAGAAGGAGTCAGTGACAGGAGTGGGACCACATGACCACTGTTTGGATGTCTCAAGTTGCCTCTCTCAAACTGTCAGGTCTAGGAGCACTTTCAGTGAGTCAAGAATTTACAAGACCCAAACAGGTAATCGTTATGTAACTAGCGGATCACCACCAATTGGCCCTCCAAAAATCCTTGGGTTTCCATCTATCTTCCAGTCCCCGAGACCCCTCTGATCAAAAAATAGACACAAGACAGTTTCTCGAGCTATAAGAAGAACAGGAGAATCTCCTACCGGTTTAACTAAGTCCAGGATTTCTCTTACTCGAGAAACCAACATGCTAGCTTTACTTCTGGTTTCTCTGTAGCATACCAAGCAGTAGACCTAGAGGTGGAACAGCTAATCCCTCTATTATCCCTGCCTCCAGCAGTGACCCAAGTGCTGGGAACAACAGCTCAGGCAAGTTCAAAAAACACTAGTCAAGGGAGCTTCTCAAAAAATATCCAAGCTTGAAGGGTAGGTGGGACTTTCAGGAAGAAGGGCCGGTAGGATGGTCCTACAAACTGGAAAGGTATGACACATAGGGCAGTCCTATGAGGCCAGCAATGAGAGACAACAATGAGAAATCACAAAGAACAGGGAGGAGTTGCAGGTACTGCAATGAGGAGACCTAGGTTTGAATGAGGTGGGAGCAAAGGTGACTAGACACTTGATATATCCAGCCCTGCCCAACACCCAATTCCACCCACTCCACAAAGACAAAGATGCCAACATCCCAAAGCTCAGCACCATCCAAGGTGGCACAGCAAAGCTGTGAGGGCACCCAGATCTGCCCCTTAACTCTCTGATGAGACCCACATGGCACCCAGACTCAGTCCATTCACCTATGGTACCTGTTGTGCTGTACCAACATCTGTCTCCTGGAAGCTGAAGTTGACCCAGCCAGATGTTCCATGGCCACTCAGAACTATAAACACCTGTGGCTGACCAAAGCTTACCCAATTCTCTTCTCCACCAAGCTGGAGAAGGGGAGAAGACACAAGGTAACTTGGGACAGATGTGGCCAAGTCAGACTCAAAAAAATCATTAGCAAATTGAGTCATTGGGTATCCTTCTCACTGCTAGCCTTACCCATGCTGTCAGCAGGATACAGGCATCCCCCTAGGGAGAAAGGTAGCAGGGCCAGCAATGACTCTACTAACCCACCATGGGACCCCCTCAACTTGTCAACCATCTTCCTTCCTTCAATGATTGTTATGTTTATAAATACAAGAAAGAGTGTCAGCAACTCCATTTATAACATAACTTGTTAGTAATTAAGCCCATTTTAGCAGGCTGTGGATGGCTCATGCCTGTAATCCTAGGTACTCAGAAGGCTGAGATCTGAGGATCAAGGTTTGAAGCCAACAAGGATGGGAAAGTCTGTGATTCTTATCTCCAATTAACTAACAAAAAGCTGGTAGTAGAGCTGTGGCCAGTGATAAAACACTAGCCTTGAGCACAAACGCTCAGGAACAGCACTAGGCCCTGAGTTCAAGCCCCAGGATCAGCACAAAAAAACAAACAAAACCATCTTAGTTCAAGAAATAAACTTAAAAGAATTAAAGTGGTTTACCACTCTAGGGGAGAGAACTCCCAGAAGGTACTGGCTCCCTAAGTACTGACTTTTGGGATAGGAGTTAAAGTTTTCCAATATGATATTGACAAAGATTAAACAGGTGAACAAGAACCTACGCTGGTATGGGTATGAAGAAAGGCACAATCTATATGGTTAGGAGGTAAACCAGAAAACATTTTGGCAGCACTTCTGAAATTAATGCACATTCCTCCCAGGGGTGAGAATGTCCAGCCTGAGGGCTGTATAATACAAACACATGATGGGACAGCCATGTATGTTTCTCATTGGCTGCCCCCAGCCTGTATTGATAATTTTGTATGAACTGAGAATGATGCTATAAATATCAAAATGGTCCTAGTCAGTGTAAAGGGTCCCCATCCCTGCTAGGCTCTGTTTGGGACTTTAAGCAGAATAGTATCCCACTTTACAAAGAGGAGAGAAGTAGTTTGACCAAAGTTGTGTGGAGGAGCAAAGGAGTGATATTAAACTAAGAAAACACACAAAAAGCCACTACAGAAATGGTAACACATTCTTCCAAATTCTGCTAGGGACTTATTTGCCCTAAGATAATTGCCCTAAGATTATGCCATGTTCTTTACTATGCCAAAACACAATTGTGTCCATAATAGCAAAGAGCTTACAACTGAAAGGCTCTGAAGGGGGGACCATTTAAGTCAGCAACACTGAAGGAAACCACTGAAGGATACCACTGAAGGAAAGTGATTAATATAAAAGGGGACTGACTATAAGGGCTGGCTAAGAGCAGTTCACAAGCTCTCCACAAGGAAATAAGGCTACCTATCACTGTGTGCAGAGGGAGGAGCTCTCTAATTGATAGTACTGGCCTGCATGGAGAGAGAGAGGCAGGGGTAAGATAAGTCCTGCTGTGGTAGACTAGAAGGGACATGAAGGCACACTCAACTCACATTTTCACAGGCCCGTGCCTTCCTCTGTCATTTTCCCCCTATGCCTTGATGGAGGCTCTTATAGGAGGTGCCACATCCACTCCCCTACTAGATCTAGTGCCAATGGAGGCTGGGATAGAGAAGGTGCCAATCGTCACAGACAGTTGGGTATGAAGACTTAACTCCCAACTTCCCAGAGGAGCTAACCCAGCACCTGCTCTGCCTAGGCTTTGTCTTAAAGATCGAATCATTCTCTCTTCTCCAGTGTCATAGAGAGAGTCCTACTGATCTCCCTAAGAAGGTAAGAGAAACTCCAGAGTCCAGGCACCTGTCCAAGGTGCCAGAAAGTTACCAATAACCATGACCAGGATAGTTTGATGGAGGAGTACAATGTCAAGAAAACTGACAGGCTTTCTACTGCCTGACCCTACCTCAGGCTTTTCCAAATATATAATCTTTAAAACAACTCTTTCTGAGCCAGCAAAGCTACACTCCCATTTTGTAAAAGGGAAGACCGTAGCCACAACACTTGCAAATGGTAGGGCCTGGGTCCACTCCAAAAATGTTTCCTCTTAAACCTCCACAAGAAGGGTGGGAAGTCAGGGAGGACAGAAGACACAGTGACGTTTAAATAATCCCAGAAAATGATTGCCCAAATTCCTCCTTACTGCCCCCTCTTGCAAGCTGTCTGCCAGTCTTGGATGGGGTGGAAGGTGTCTAATCTCTCTCCCCACAGTGGGAATGACACAGGCCACTGAGGTTTCTTTCCTGGAGGAACACAGGCGCCACATCAAGGGGGAGGGTCGAGAAGGGAGGACAGAGCAGGAAGTGGACGAAGGAAGCCATGCATCTGAGCTAAACCGGTGGGAGAGCAATCATGGAGATGATGACGAGGTCAGAGCCACTTGGGCCAGAGAGGGTGCTAGCGGACCCTGGCCCGTGACAGGGACGAAGTGCAATTCCTGACTTCCTCGGGCCTTTATGTCTCTTCCTGGCCTCTGGGCACTCACGGAACTAACAGAAAATACTCCAAAAGCAGCTGCACCAACGAGAGGGGAAGTGTTTTGTTTGAAGGTGACAGAGAGTAATGGCCACCCAGATCCAGGCTCAGCCTTTCCTAGCGGGTCACTCGAGTCTGTGCGCTCAGCATCTGCCCACCTACCCACACGCACATTACGGACACACCCTGGACAGCGACGACCACCGCAAAGCATCAGCCCTTACGAAAAGGAAAAAGGGCCGCCGGGGCCTTCAAAGGAAGAGGCTAGCTGGCAGAGGGGAGTTGCAGGGTGCCAGGGCACTCCCCGCCCCCCTCCGCCCCCAAGCCGCAGTCGGGTAAGGGCCCGCCGGCCAAGGCCCAGCTCACGCCCATACCCTGCCCGTGCCCCCACCCCCTGCATCCTCCGCCGGGCAAGGGTGACCTAGCCCCACAGGCCCCAGGCACCCACGGGGATCCGGGACGGGGGTCGAGCGGTGGCAGCTTACCTCTTTGAGCTGCTCCATCTCGCTGCGGATGGCCTCATAATCCACCTCGAGCTCCTCGAACTGCAGCTTGAGCTGGTGCTTCTCCTCCAGCACCGCCAGCCCGTACTCGGCCGCCTGGATCTTCTCGCGCGTGGTCTCGGCCAGCTCGTGGGACAACCGCTTCACTTCAGCGCGCAGCCACTCCGGCTGCGCGTCCATCACCAGCCGTGCGTACTCTTCTTCCTCCGACGGCGCGGACATAGTGGCCGCGCGCCGAAGCCGGATTTCCCACCAAGGTTCCTGCAGGCCGGACCCTCCGGAGCCTCCTGAGCCTCCGCCGCTGCCGCCGCCGCCGCCCAGCCCCGACGGCCGCCCGCGCCGCCGCACTGATTCTCCCTAACTCGCGCAAGGCATACTGGGGGTTGCAGTCCCACTGAGAGAAGACTACAAGACCCACCATGCCCCGCGTCCGCCCAGTTCACGGCTGTGATTGGTCCGTACTTTGAGGAGGCTGGCTCTCTGACGCCTTGGCAAAGGTGTCCGCAGTCTCCGTGGTGCCTACTACAAAGGTCCGTTGCGCGGGTCTCCCGCCCAACTCCGAGCGGTGTTTGGCCAGCGCCACCGACGCCCTGATCAGTTGCTGGTCTGTCGCCTCCCATTGCTTCAGACTCGACCTGTCAAACCCGGGGGCCCAGTGACTACCCGGAGAACGTCCGGTTTGGGGTTCCCGGCCTTGGGACAAGCAAGGTAGCTAGTGTCCGGACGCCATCCGGCCGCGTTATTGCCCCCGCTTGTAATAAAAACCTGGACACCCTGTGACTCGCGCTCCGTGTGGGCTGCTTTGGATGGAAGCGTGGCTGGCGTTGCTGGGAAGAGGCCGGTCCGTCGGGGACGCCGGCGCTCGGGGGATGGGGTAGGGGGGACTTTTGAGCGACTGTGTGCCCCCCCCCCGCCCACTGCTGGGCGAGGCAGTGCGGGAAGGAAGGTGGCCCTATGAGCACAGGGTCATAAGTGAGTTTAATACAGTTGCTGCCCGGCACCCATTTGCAGATGTCGTGCCCTTTACCTTAGACCTAGAAAGAACTTTCCTCCCTTGGCTGGTCGTTTGTGTCCAACTGCTTGGGCCTCTTCTCTCTGAGCCCACACAGCCCACAACTGCCGAACGTCATGAAGATATATAGTGGTCAACACCAGGGTCGTGTAAATAAGTTCATCCTTCCCTCCCGTTTTTTATTAAAACTAGCCAATCCACGCCTCCTTCTCTAAGGTAAAATAAAGGGATAATGCTATGGACCTCAATAAAGGCACGGTCCTACAGTCCCCTTCCCTCTTTTTTTCATGCCCCAACCTCTCTGGACCTGTAACAAATTTGTTTCATCCATTTTTATTTTACTTCCTTATTGTGTCTCACCTGACAATGACATCAAGCACACCTAAATACCCCCCTAACTCCCCCACCCCCCAAGAAGTTATCTTGGCTTACTATCACTCTCAAGAGAGTAACCTTGCTAGAGGTCTGTGGCTCATGCCTGTTCCTAACTGCTCAGGAGGCTGAAATCCAGAGGATTGTAGTTCAAGGCCACCCTGGACAGAAAAGTCTGTAAGAATCTATCTCCAATTAACCTGCAAAATGTGAGACTGGAGAGATGGCTCAGGTGTTAGAATAACAGCCATGAGCAAGAAAGACAAGCCCGAGTGGGAAAGGTATTCCTGCTTGTTCATTCATTAGCAGTATGGATCTATAGATTCTTTTATTCAGTAGATTACAATTCGTTATTTTTTCTTTTGTTTGGGTTTTTTAAAACTGTATTTTTGGTCTGTTCTTTGTTCATTTGGGGATCAAACCCAGCACACTGCACTTGCTAGGCAAGTGCTTTGCCACTGAGCTACATCCAGCCCTTAACTTTTTTCTCCTTTGGTATTTAAATGTTAGATTTGGCCAGTAGAAGCCCCTCCACATTGGCTTTTCAAAGTGTAATAACTTTTTAGTACTTTTTAAATCTCTGTCACAACACATTCCAAGATGGAGATAATATTATACTTACTGTGTCCCAGATGGAATGATCTATTTCTCCCATGAAACCTTAATTCTTTTAGTGTTTTAATGTCTTGTTTATGAAGAATGTGTCATATTTTGACTTGTGAAATGAAATTATTTTTAAGGAATTCAGCCATAGTGGTAATAGAACATGACCAACCAGTTTGGTTACTGTGATTATTCTGACGTTACAGTGAAAATCCTATGTGTCTGGCTGGGGCAAGCTGTTTATAATAAATGAGAGAAACCAGAGGGAAAAGAAGGAACAAGCCTTATTCAAACAAATACACAGCCTCTAGAACACATGCACCTGACCCAGCTTGGCCTGACAGGGAGCCTCCCCACCCCCATCTTATACCTGTGGTCCTGGTCTGTGAAGGGAGAGGGACAGCTATGGGAATCTGATGCAGGTACTTTAAACTTGGAGACCTGATGTGGCTAGGATGATCTCAGGCGCTTTCAGTTACAAACACACGTGGTCATTAGCATTGTGGGCTTCCTACAAGAGGGATAGCACTGATCTTCAATGTTAGGACTGTGTGGGAAGAATCTGGGATACATGATGTGTGATGAGTAAGGATGGAGTAATTCAGAGATGCTTCCCTCAGGAGGTGACACACAAGGGCAACCCAGAGGATGCATAGGAATTGGCTAGGCCAAGGCTGTGTGACTAAGGTACTCACAAGGATAAGAAAAGCAAGTTTTGATCTCCCCTACCCCACTCTGTAGAATCTATAGTATGGATGAAGGGCTACTCATATTGAACACTCTGGGTCCCCAACACTGCCAAGTCCTTGATATGCCTTTCTTTACTTAGTCTATACACTACCTGAAATTAAGACCATCTGCTTTATAAATGAGGAGACCGAGGCTTTTAGCATCTTGCCAGCAGATGTCTGTCTTGCTTGTGCTTGAAAACAAACTCTCCTACTTGCTGGCCCATCCCCTTCACTTCTGCCTGTATCATGGCAGTCATGTTCACACACGCTCCCCCGCCTAAGGGAATGCTTAGGTTCCCAAATCGAGTCTCACCCTGTCCTCTTCAAATCCAAGTCAAAGCCAAATCATCACAGCCTCCTTGAAGGCTGTGCACATTTCAGAAGGGCATTGCCCTCACACCAACCTTCTGGGTTTTGACTCCTTTCCCTGAATTTATTTCCTTCCTCTGGTGGGCAAAATATGCTGTACTGTGAAGTATCTCCTATATTAGCAACTCCCAGAGAGCATGGACTTTTTCTTGTTGGTTATGTGGCTGGGACATTGTCCCTGAGCTCTTTTTGCTCAAGGCTAGCACTCTACCACTTTGGGCCATAGCTCCACTTTAGGGTTTCAGGTGGTTTATTGGAAACAAGAGTCTCAAAGACTTTCCTGCCCATGCTGGCTTTGAACCCCAGTCCTCAGATCTCAGCCTCCTGAGTTGCTAGGATTACAGGTATATGCCACCAAGCCTAGCATCAACTGGCCCACATTAGGGGCCCTAGACAGCATCCCAAAGAATTTAGCTTTACCCAGCACTGCTCCCTGGATGCCTGCTCTCTCTGTTGAAAAGGTAAAAAAATGCACAGAAGGATGGAAGCATCCCTGGCAGAGAAGGAACCAGAAACAAGTTGTAGTGGGGACTTGGGGATATCAAGAATGCATACAGTGGTCCCTTCTAGGACTTGACTGCTTAGCCAGGGGCCTGCAGACAAAGCAAACTCCTCCTGCCAGTCAACCTGCTGTGTCTTTGTTAGCAAAAGTGCCGACGTCCCATTGGAAGCTTCTATACACAGATGCTCCAGTTGGGAACTGGGTGATGGCCTGTTCAGGTATGCTTGACTAAGCTACCTAGACAGGCCTGACATACCTGAATATCTATGCTGTATGACATCAGAGGGGCTTTGGCCTAAATCAGAATGTCATTTATTCAGTAAACTCCTCTCTATGCCAGGTCTGGACAGTGCCAGGGCAGGGGTGGGGCATGGATTCAGACATAGAACTGATGGCAGTACTGAAGACTTCAAAAGTTTTTTGAGCTCTAATCCTATGCCTTGGTAAATGTTTGCTATCTTTCCTAAGCCTCATAAACAAGTTAAGGACAGGTTCCACTGCTCTCATCTCATAGATTGTGGAACTGAGGCACAATGAAGTAAATGAAGCCCAAAGTAGCTGGAGGAGCCTCACACGTGATCCTAGGACTGTGTGTGTGTGTGACTCTGTATTCCCAGCTTCCTGCTCCATCGCCTAACCCTCCCTGAATGGAGCAAATGACAGATCTGTCCTAAGGGGCTCACATTGCAGGAGGTACAGATGTCACCTGCTAACTCCTTTGATGTGTAGATGATGTATGTATGTGAGGTTCTGAGGGCTGTGAGGGGCAGCGTGGAATTGAAGAACATGGGCTGAGTCTCAGAGGATGAGCAGCTCTTTGCCAGGCACCAAAGTTGTACCCAAGAGAAGGCCTGCAGACCTATGAAAATGTGAGTTTATGAATGAGTGTTATTGAATGCTGGGTGAATTTTGGAGCCTCTTGTCATGTGGAATGTGTACATGTGTATTTGTGTGTGTGTGTGTGTGTGTGTGTGTGTGTGCGCGCGCACATCAGGAAAGGAGGTCTATTGGCATTAGATTGCCAAGCTCTGTTATACCAAACTATGTTTATCACCATTTACCAAGATCATGCTGACCAGAATGACTTGAGATTTGTGACCAGTTGAGATCTCTGGAAGAAGGAATTACTGAGACAGTTAGGGGTTAAACGTTGTTTATTAGGACCAGGAGTCAGTGGCTCACACCTGTAATCCTAGCTGCTCAGGTGGCTGAGATCTGAGGATTATAGCTCCAAGCCAGCTCACAGTAGGAAAGTCTATGAGATCTTACCTTCAGTTCGCAATCAAAAAGCCAGAATGAAGCTGTGGCTTATGTGGTAGAGTGCACACCTTGAGCAAAAGGGCTTAGGGACAGCACACAGGCCTTGAGTTCAAGCCTTAGGAAGGCAGGAAGAAGCCCCATGATAGGAAATAGAAGAGGCTGAGCAGGTCCTCGGCCTTGCCTTTAAGCCCTTTGGCGGGGCTCAACTCCATGTGGGGTTTATCTAGCTCAGGCAGGTACATGCGAATACAGTAATTGTTCCCTTTTAGTAGAATATTTTCAAAGTTTATCCATGTTGTAGTAAGTACCAGAGCTTCATTCACTTTTATAGATAAATACTTGTCCATTATATGAACACATTTTCTTGATTCATTCATCTGCTTGTAGACAACCTAGATTTCCGCCCCATTGTATGTTTTTAAATGGTGGTACTATACCAGTTTCAGAGTGAGGAATGCTTTCACTTCTTTGGA